AAACTAAAAATATAACAATATTTGAGCACAGTGTACAAACAAAATCACCTGACATATTGATTAAAAGGTTTGTTTAAAAGGTTCTAACAAGGTGAAATTCCCTTGTTTTGAAAATCACTGTAAATTCTCTTGAGGACCTCTCATGCAAATATCAGTTTCATGATTTATAACTAATTTTTCTGATGAGCCAGCGCTCTATCTGGATACTATGTCTTGTTCAGGTGGTTTATGAGGACGCCTGATCAGATTTGGGAGTAAGACCGACACAGGATGAAAGAGGAGAAAAGGCACTGGCTGCTGGCAGGAGATAAACGAAGGAGGCATTTGATTTTGACTCCCGGTCGTGCCGGGCTGCCTGCTGCGCCTGTATGAGCGTTTCAAAAGGAGTCATGCTGGGATGTTGAAACACTCCGCAGATGACAAGAAAGCCGTCTGTCAGCTGGAGTCACGTCAGGTTGGTTTGATTCGGGATAAAAGTGGGAGTTTGTGTTTGTGCAGCAGACAACAGATTGTGTCTGGGAAGATTAAAAAAAAATTCTGATTCACTTCAACAATAAATGGAGCGGGAAATAATGTTCGATATCTTTATCATTTACTTTGTGCCAGCAACAAAGACAATGGCATTTATAGTAAAATGTGACTTACATGATTCTGCACTAGATTATTTTGTTGTAAAATCTGTTATGAAAGACTAACGTTTGAATCTGGAAAAGAAATAGATCAGATAAGGTCAATATTAAATATTAATTTAATGATAATTAAATTTAATTTAATACTCAGCAGGTAAAATTTTTCTGACAGACTGAACTACAGTCAGCGTCCATCGAGAGTAAACAGTCTCTCCAACACTGAAATCTCATTCAGAGCAAGAGGAAGTTAGTCTGTGCTATTGGTTAGATCTCTAAGACCACACAAAACTCAGTCCTCATTAGCACAAATGGGCCACTGCAATAGGAAGGACCTGACAATGATCAGAGGCTAAAAATCCAATAGCAACCAAGACTGGAAAAGAAGCTGAACTCGATGAACTCAGTCTAAGCAACAGCTAAAGCTGGGGCAATATCTTGGGTAATACAGCTAACTGGACTGCAATAGAAAGAACAGCAATAAAATGGCTAGGCAACTACCAGGACATAGCAACAACCTGGACAAGATCATGATTTGGGCTCCCAAATCTCTAAGCATTAACCACGGCCAAGTGACTTAAACTCTATATGACAACAACACAGACCAGTCAATAACTGGGGCTTACCAGCAATGTTAGGATACAGCCAGAGGTAGGCAACAATCAGTTGTTGCAGCCACAACCATTGTTTTCATGACAAGTAGATTAAGCAGATTTAGGCACTAGAAAACCACAGGACAGACTGCTTAGAAATTAGGGATAGGAAACAAAATGGGGAAAAACAGGACTACTGTAGGCAACAAGTAGGGATACTCTAAACTCTTAACAGAAAGTAGGCCTTGTTAGGATAAATAGGAAGCAACAACAATGACAAGAAAATGTTTATCACCTATAAAACTAACAGCATAAATGAAAAGTCAAAAAACAAATGTAGCCCAATTTGCAGGATTGGGCAAACAATTCAAACAAGGCAACAACCCGTAAAAAACAGCAGTGAAGTAAACAATCAGGAATACAAAACAATGAATCCTCCTCAACAACAGGGTATGGCAACTTTAGGCATTACAGGACGAGAAACCAGACAAGTCAACAATCTGGGTTTTGTAGGCAACAGTTGGCTAAAAAGGAAACAATGTGGACTGGCTAGATAGTAGTGTTAGTCAACTGCTGCAGCAATGATATGGCCAGACTCTTTGAAAAACCTAGGTCATCGGCATCAAGGCGGCCTAGGCAACAAGCAACTAGAAAACATCAACTCAGAGTAATCAACAAACTGAGATAGAAACTACACAGAGGGCTGCAAACAGGACTGTGTAAAAAAAAAAGACAACAGCTGGGAGAAGATTGTAATGAGGAACAGGTAGCAGCCCAGGCTAGACTGTAAATGGGACTGGACTAAAATTAGCACCAGAATTCAGGCCTTGTTAGGACAACTGGGAAGAAACATAATTGAGGACTAGAAAGTAACTAGCATAATCCATTAGGTAACAATCAATGGTACACAACCACCTGAATGGTTTAAAAAAATCAGTCTAGGGCAATATAGCTGTATGGGTTACAGTGGAAAGCAACTAACAATAAACAACCACATCTAGGCTGCTAATCAACAGGGCAATGTATTGAGAAAGGAAATAACTGGGACCAGGAAAAAAACAAACAAACTAGTGAACAATAATAAGAAATAGGACTGAGCAACTGATCAGGCCTAGAAAATAAAGGTTGAGGGAAAAGTTGGACAAACTAACAACAACAAATTAAAGATGGTTAGGAAATACAGACTGTTGATTATGAAACAAAACAGGAGCTGGACTAAGACAACCAGACCTGAGCCTGAAAGAGACAGAAAGAATATTCTGATCAGCTCTACTGACATGACTGCTTCCTGTTATCAGGTGTTGTTTCAGCAGTGCCCTCTCCGGAGGTCCATGTCTTCATTTTCAGGTTGGTGTCAGAGCTCTGGCTTCATCCTACTCATTCCTCAGAATCCAGATAATTACCGATCCTATGACCTTTGACTTTGTCCACTTTAAAAATAGATAAATTGTTGAAGTTTTTATCTACTCACCTGCATGTTTAATTAATGCAGCTTATTCTAAAATTTATCAAATTTACACCTATTCAAACTATTTCAGTCTGAGGATTTCAATGACATTTCAGCAGTTTAAACATGTTTTAAACAAACCCGTTGAGCTCTTGGATCTGATTGTGAGACAGGATTTAGCTGAAGTTAAAATAAGACATGAAGAACAGGTTTTCTTACCCAGAAGATGAAGGAGTAGAGCAGCAGCAGCGTCTTCAGGCAGAAGATCGCCGGTTTGGTTTCCATCCTCCTGGGAGCCATAATCCATCTGAGACTGAGGGACCAAAACCAGAACTCCGCTCGTCTTTCTCTCTTTTATCACCACAGGAAGAGGGAAACCTCTCCCTCACGATGACAACCGCTCAGCCCCCTCTGCTGGTTTTACCAGTAACTGCACAACAGAGCAAGCTCCTCATGTTTTATGTTATTAGTTTATCTGTATTAACCTCACATTAATTACAGACAAACACAAGTATAATACATGATTTTCAACATTACGATTTAACAAATAAAACATTCATACAAACACAAATATTCCCCATTCAATCTTTGAACATAAACCCTTATGGACATTTTGCATGTAAAGTCCTTTTAATTTAGGCACATTCTGAAGCCAATGCTTCAAGTCAAACTCATAATGGGGGACATTTATGTGTAGCAGGGTAAGTGTTAAGTGTGGTGCTGCTCCTTTCCCCTCTGATAGCCTGCTTTGAGTCTAAGTTCTTTGTCTAAATCTGTCCATTAGACCATGTTGAGCCTCTCAGACGGCTCCACTCTAGATGTGAATCAGTTTTAGTCATACTACAGTGTCTGTAGTGCACATACATATATAAATATTTCAAGTAACCAAGCTCTGTTTAATGGGTGAGGTGTGCTGGGCCTTCACAGGCAGGTGTAACAGCAGCTCAGACTCACTGATAGTCACCACCATGTTAATTGTGTGGTCAGCGTGTGAAGAATGAGGCTCGCGTGTTTGTACCATCACTTTCTAACCACCAACCAAACCTGCACAAATCCTTTAGTCTCTTCACGTCAATCTGCTGCAGCTTTCAGACCAATCAATCAGATCATTAATGCAGTCAGCAAAATGTCAACTCAATGTGCTTCCTTTCAGTCACATTGATAAACATGTTTGAGCTCTGTGAAATCCATTTCATCCCCTGAAAGATTTATTCTTGAGTTTTAAACCACATGCAGCATCATTTTATTTACAGGACTTTAGTGGTGGCTCTGCACGACTGAATGTTAACTTTGACAACATGAGTCAAAGGAAGAAAAACCAAACCAACAGATGTGTTTAATATGTTTATTTCATTCATATTGCAACAATTGCTTCGAGCAAAGCAGTCAGAATTTAAACTGGACCTTTTCTGCTTGTTTTTAATTCTAGGAATCACTGTTCAAAATTATCCTTATTTATCTCACACTGGGACTTGGTGTAGTTCCCAGTTTATCATCTGCGAAACTAAGAAGTAGTTGCTGGGATTGAAAAGTGTAGCCAACACCTACAGTTCCCCTAATGTGCCTGTGAGGCTCTAAAAGTGAGTCAGTCCCAATAAACTCCTATGTTAAAATGTCCAGCTTTATAATTGAAATAAACATGTTTTTAGCCTGTTTAAATTTAACAGAGGCTTAAAGTTTGCATTATTCAATGTGTGACCTCTTTGGCTAACTGCTAATTGCAGGACTTTTATTGCATTATTTAGCACCTATAAGCAGATATCTGTGTATGTACAGCTCTCCCTCTTGTTCCAAATATGGTCACTTCTGGCTTGAAAAAAGACTATAGTGGTCAAAATGTTGAGGCTTGACAACAGGACTTTCCAAATCAATAGGAAATTAGGTCACGGTGGTTATCTAAACCTTTTTTAACAACCGTCCCACAGAAAAGCTCACATTCTAATAACTGGACAGCTCATGAAAGGCTGGAGAAGTGCAGCAGCTCTTGGCTATGAGCTGTGCTTTGTCTGTATAATGACCTAACGTTAGCTCTGTAACACTGCAATATTATATATACTCTGCAACAGAAAATGCAGAAAAGGTCCCCTTTGATTAATACCGAGTTTACAAAATTACAACTGAAATATTAAAGTGAAAGTGTAACAAAAAATATTGAATTCTTTCCTATTAATGCTGTATCAGTAGACAATGATTAGAGTAGCACCAGGATATCCTAATATTCTAATCCTATCATAATTGGGTAATATTTGGTCCTTCAGGAGCTTTTCTGGTAACAAGGCTAAACGTGGCTTAACGTGTTCTTGAGGTTTTTTGATTGATCATCAGTGGAGCGTCCTACACCTGAACAGACCAGGGGATAAAGGTTCCTGCTTCAGCCAGAGGACACTGCAATAGAAAAACAGCTGGTAAGTTCAAATATAAACAGTTTTAGGTCTCTCAGTTTCTTTTATCCAAATGACCTTTCTGCATATTTTCAATTTCTCCTTTAAAGACATGAAAAAGATTTAACCATCTCACAATGTAAAACCTAAATGTTGTCATTTGTTTCATCCGTTCTTTTTTATACCCACAAAGCTGAAATACTTTTGATTTTTTGATTTTTTAAATTTTTTCTTTGCATGTTTATCTGGATTCTATCTCTTCAAATCTGACAACAGTGCAGTTTGAGTCAGCTGGGCAGAAAAGAATTAAAACTGTTAATCCAGAGCTGTAACAAGACCTGATTCTCACTAAACCTTTTCATGGACAGGATGCCGTCGTCGGCATAAAAGCTAACAATAAAAGCTAATGGAAACTTGAACATCACAAAATGTATTTTGTTAAAAGTTGGAGTTATGCTGCAATGAGAACATGAACGATGTAGTTACTCTCATTTTTATGTACTGAGTGTAAACTTTTATGCCTGATTTGTCAAGCCAGATCTTTCACAAGATTTTCATACCAGTTTAGTGAAGCGGTCACTGCAGGCATTGCGGATCCTCTCGGCAGAAGCAGGGCTGTCCAATCTAAATGGCCCGGTAATCCCTGACTCTGCCCGTGCAGCACTGATGGCATCTTTGATGGCATAAAAAACTGAAGATGCCAAGAAGAGAGGAGGCTCACCTACAGCCTGGGAAAGGAAAAACAAAAAGTATAAGTCCATTAGATCCAGGATCATCAGTTTTTAAACTGTCTTGAGCATTACCAGATTTCTTACCTTGGAGGCAAAGATGGCCTTGTAATTAGGAGCATCACGAAGCAATGAGACCGTAAGCTGGGTAGGAATGTCACCGAAGGCAGGGATTTTATAAGAACCAGGACCCCGAGTGAGGAGGACTCCCTGGGGTGAATAATGAAGCTCTTCCAGGGTGAAGAGACCCAGACCCTGCATGAATGCTCCCTCAACCTAAATGTAGACATGAGGAACGAATCAGTACCATAAAAATGTGGTTTTTGTTTCTTTTATTGGTTCATTGATCCATCAGTTGTCTTTATGTATGAATAATACTTGAATATCTCACCTGCCCGATATCTATAGCTGGGTTGAGACTGTTGCCAACATCCATCACTATGGTGGTACTCAAGTTCTGTAAGACAAATACGTCATGAAAATATCTCAAGTCAGAATTTACCAGTAAAATTGAAAAACTGAAAAAAATGTGGTGTTAAACACCTTAATCAGATTGACAGAGGTGATAAAATCCGTCAGAGTTCCTTAAAACGTTTTAAACATTTGATTCAAGAGTTTGAACTCAGATAAATGTAGCTGTACTTGGTGCAGACCTTATGTGATCCGGTCAAACAGTCTATCTCCACCTCTGAACAGGCCACTCCGTAGGAGAAATAGCTGAAGGCTCTGCCTGAGTTTGTTTCAAAGTCATAACCAATATTTGGAGTCCTGATAAGAAAGCGGGAAACAGTGAAACCTTTCATTTTGTTGTAATATGAAGTTAATCAATGATTCATTTGGTGAACTCACTTATAAAAACCATTTGCACTGAGGCTGACTCTGTCAAAGTAAGCTGCTTTCACCTGGTAAACAGACACAAATACACCAAGTACAGTTAAAAGATGAATATTTAATGGGAATAAACCCCCCCAAAAAAGTACTATGACAAATTTAGCCCTGTTTACCCAGTCCTCCCACGTTCCATTAGGATTCTTGGCCTTGAATGGCTCAAGACGTTTCAGCAGGATCTCGCAGGCATTCTTCAAGGCAGCACCATTGAGGTCTGAGGATGCAGAGGCAGCGGTTGCACTGGTGTTGGGAACTGTGTTGGTGCTGGTCTCTGATATGTGGATCTTTGAGGAGGGGATACCCAGAACTCTGCTGGCAACCTGAAAACACACAGCGAAGACAGTTCTGAATGCTTCTGAATGGCTGAACAGCTTCTCACTAAATTGCAGTAGTGTAAAAACTGTATGCTGTTTTTATAAAGACCATACGTAGGTATTTAAAATAAAAAATTTTTAAAGTGCTTGAGAAAATTAATAAAAGCGGCAACATTTGATACTCCAAAGGAAGTTTTTAGAGGCTATTTAATGTTTAGTGTCCTTATCTATGAGGAAGAATTGGTAATAAATATTTCTGTGTGATGCCACCAAAGGTCAGGAGAGAGAGATTACATTTATTTCAAACATCCAATGTGATGTTTGAAATAAATATGTGGATTTTAAATAGATGAGTGGAGTCCTTTACCTGAACCATCTTGGTGTGAAGTCCTTGTCCCATTTCAGTCCCTCCATGAGTCAACAACACTGAGCCATCTGTGTAGATATGAACCAGAGCTCCAGCCTGAAGACAAATCAAAACAACCAATCAAGGCTGCTCACAATAAAAGAATAATAGGAACTGTTTAAACTTAAAATATTTGTTTGTTTGTGTATCAGACCTGGTTTAGGAAAAGTGCAGTGAAGCTGATGCCAAATTTGGTAGGAACAACAGCAATTCCCCGTTTGGTCCATCGGTTCTGTCTGCCCAGAAAACAGAAAATGATCATTTTGAAAAAGTAAGTTTCATGTTTTTATTTCTTTTCTCAAACCTTTTTGCGTCTCATCCCACAAAGTACATTTTTAGAAGTTATGCAGACTGGATAATTATTACCTCTTGCGTTGCTAAAATTGCTTCGAAACTTGTTCTTATCCACTCAAAAGTACTGAAATTTTGGTCTAAATAACTTTCTCTTACCTGTTGTAGAGGTCAATGGCAATTCGACGTTGCTGGTATCCAGAGCGTGACATGCATTCATCCCAGCAGCGGTCTAAGGTGATCTGGTCCAGGACTTGATTAAATGGAGTTGAATCACCTTTCATATACAAGTTCAACCGCCGAACCTACAGGAGGATGGAGACACTGACTGGACTGCCATTCATTAACTAGACTTAGTTGTTTATCCAACTTCAGTTATCCACCAACCTCCTCAGGCGACTTCCCCAGACTCTGAGCCACATCGGTCATCCAGCTCTCTGCCACCATCATACCCTGTGGCCCTCCAAAGCCTCTGAAAGCGGTGTTGGATGGCAGGTTGGTGCGGCACAGGAAACCTCGGCCACGTATATTTGGCACTCTATATGAGTTCTCCATGTGAAACAGAGCTCGCTCCACAATCTTTTTGAATACACAGCTAACTTTAGGGTGTTATCAGCATAGCATGTAATTAGATGAATAAGGTCTGTGGTTCATAATAATACTCACTGCCTGAGAGAGATCCATGGAGTTTCCAGCATTACCATAGTACGTCACATCCAGGGCAACAACTCTCCCACTGTTTAAAAACCCAACCTGCAGCAAGAGAAAAGGATCAGTAAAATTACCTTCAAAAATTAAAATTACTGCCATAAGTATCATAGCTGCTGCTATTACCAACACTGATAGTAGTACTATTCCTCATACCTTATATTTACCATAGAAGGGATGTCTTCCTCCAGTAATTAGCATGTCCTCGTCTCTGTCCAACATACACCTGACAGGCCTCTTCAGTCTGAAGCACAGAAAGCCAGATTCTTACCAATGTTAGATTCTTGAGGTTTTAAAAATTGATGGACTTACTTATTTGCTGCCACAGCAACCACAGTGGATAGCAAAGTGGTCCGCGATTCTTTTCCTCCAAAACCTCCGCCCATCCTCTTCACGCGGACCACCACCCTGTTTGCAGGGACACCCAATGCCATTGCCACCAGAGACTGAATCAGAGACACACTTATAGGTTAATTTATTACATCTTATTTTGTGTGTGTTTTTATGCTGTTGTTACCTGTGTTTTGGAGCATTGGAGTTACCTGTGTATGGGTGGGTGCCTGGGTGGAAACAAAGAGCTCCATCTCTCCATCCTCTCCTCGGGGAACAGCCAGAGTAACATTTGTCTCCAAGTAGAAATGCTCCTGACCACCGATGTGCATCTCACCTGACAGACAGCAAATCAAAAATTAATGCCAGCTGGAAAAGTGAGGAGTCACATAGAGTCACAGAGACAGTCCTACCCTCCAGGATGTGGTCAGCATGTTTAAACCCTAACTCCAAATCCCCCTTTTGTATGGTTCTGATTGGCTGATAGAAGGACTGGGTAGCAATGGCCTCCTGTCAATCAAACCAACACAACATTTTATTTTAAGCATAAAAGTCAAAATTTAAATAATATTATTTTATGGTTCTCAGCTGCTAGAAAAACACAAAGTTACAACATTTTACTGGACTTTATGCAATAAAAAAGATAGGTACATATTCTAGAGGTAGATTCTATTCTACACAACAGAAAATGCTTTAAAAAGTGAAGCTAGAAATTCTTGAAATACATAGAATAGAATGAAATGGTTAAAAATTCAACAATGTTAACTGTAAGTGCAAATTTATTTTATAATGTAAATTTAAGTTACATTTAATTTAATTTTTTCTTTAAATGTAAATTTACATTGAGAAATTAAGATGGTAGCAGATTTATTTTTGTGTCAAATTACATCGACATGTTTAAAATGTTACATCAGCATTCACTCTGGATACATAACCATCAAAGATCATCAATGATTGGTCAATAGCAGCTCAGGTGTGTCAGCTCTCACCTGTATGGTTATGACAGGCTGCCGCTCTTCATACTCGATCCTCACGGCTTTGGCGGCTCTCTGAGCTTGAAGCTGAGTTTTGGCCACCACAGCACCAATGATATGACCCACACAAGTCACCTGCACACAGGACAGACGAGATATCAACCTCAACCCTACAAAGCCTGATGATTGGTTGGAAGAAAACAAACCTCGCCGTCAGCAAGGACAGTCTCATCAAATTTGAGAGATCCGGCGGTGTTACTGCCGGGGATGTCATCAGCAAACAGGAAGCAGACGACACCAGGGCAACGCTCAGCACCTGACGTGTCTATAGACCTGTAACACATAACTGGTTACACATGACATATATCTGTTGGACAGGTGAGTGTAGTACAGGGGTGTTTTCTACAGGTGTCTTACAATATTCGAGCGTGGGCCTTGCTGCTGGTGATGAGTGACAGGTAGAGCTCGTTCTTGTACAGCGGCACGTCATCGCAGTAAACCGCCTCACCTGTCGCCTGCTTCATGGCCGACAGGTGCATTATGGGACGGCCCACTACATCATCCTGGTTCTGCCCCTTTGCCACGGCCTACAAGAGGAGATTCGAAATACATACATGGACAATAAATCTCAATCTGTTACATTTCCAGAGATTATATATGTATAAATATTTACTTTAATTAAACTCTGAAATTTCATAGAAAATTGAAAAATATTTTGTAGACATTCATTTAAGAATAACATAAAACACTTTGTTGTACCTGGTAGATCTGAACGCTGGATGGCGTCTCTGGATGGTACACTTCAGTCGCACTCAGACAATCGGAGGTGACCTCGGCCACCTTTAGCCCCTGAGAGATGGACCAATGAGATGCTGTTAAAAACAATCACATGACAATTGTTGTTTAAATCTGATGATGGGAAACAGACAGACCTGCAGTCGGAGCTTCTGCAGCACTGTCAGGTAGAACTTGTAGAAGAGGCTCAGAGTTAAAGTTCTTCGGTATGTCACCATGCCACCCGGCACAGACGGATCCAGGCTCATCTCCTCAGCCATTGAGTTGCAAGCCTCCTCTAGAAGCTCCTCTCCCCACGGCCTGTACGATACCAAACATTCTTACAGCCTTCTATCCTTCCTTCTTATTTTTCTTCTTTGTTACTTTCCTTTCTTTTCCTTTCCTTTTTGTTCATCCTGACCTTCGTCCCTTTTTTACTTCCTCCCTTCTTTAATGCTTAATGACTTTCTTTCATTCATCCTATGTGCTTACATCCTTTCATATTTTTCCTTCCTCCCATAATTCCTGCTACCTTCCTTTCTTTCTTCTTAAATCATCACTTCTTTTGACAATTTCTTGATTCCTTCCCTGTATACTTATTTCCATTTTCTTCCATTCCTTCCTTCCTCCCTTCTCTATTTTTATCTTTCTTTCCTTTGACTCCTTCTTACCTTCCAATCAGTCTGTTTGCCGTCTTCTTAGCCAGTACTGTGGTCGGTGCCATGCCACCAAAACTCAGCCTCAGGTTCTCAACAACATCGGTCCCAGGGGTGAAGGTGACGCTCATCGCTGCTGTGACGATACTGATGTCATCCTCACGGCGAGGGGATTGTTTGTAGGCAGACACAAACTGAGTCTGCAGGTAGAAAACAAAGTCGCTGACTGACAGAACACATGAGGTGGTCACAGGAAATGGTTGGAGGGGTTTAAATGTAACAGGAAGTAATTGCATCAACAAAACTGCTTCGACCTTTTTGCTGTATGGGATATGAATTGAGAGTAGGATCTGCTGAGGTCGCAGAGCTGTCCTCCTGTAACCTGTGAAGAACCCATCATCCATCTGAACCTCACGGCTTCCATCTGAAGGACAGTCAGAGGTCAAAAGCGAGGGTCAACAAGACAAAACACATGGAAGCCACAAGAACAGCTGGTTGTCAATGGTAATTCTTATTCAAACATTTATACAGTTATTATTATGAACACGTAAACTACAGCTTAGAGAAATGTAACCAGGAAACAGCTGAATTTCCTGTGAGCAGCGCCTGGCACATGATAGATGATCAGACACCTGATCACTGTGAGACTGAAGAAAAACCTAAAATCAGGCAGATTCTCAGGCAGGCTCTGAATGAGGTTTGTCTGATGTTTTTTCTGGAGGTTTACCTTGAATGGATAGTTTAGTTTGAATTTTTATCAGCACCTTATGTCAACCAGAATAAAAGTGTGTGCTGTTACCTTTGTCCACCAGAGTGAGCTTGCAGCCGGCTGCCATAAAGACCGGGTTCAGGTCCGATATGGGGCTGGCTGTCATGATGTTTCCACCGACAGCCTGAAAAACGCGACACAATCACATCTTATCACAATGTCACAGAAAACAAGACAGTCTCAACTTTTTATATCACAGTAATGTTTTTATGACGTAAGGTGTTCTTTAAACTTATAGGCATGGTTCAGTAGCTATTGTTGAGCAAAACTCCTTTTTCAAAATCATACTGGATTAAATTTGCTTCTAAATTTACTCTATACCCAGTCATTGAGGGCTTGTGAACAACAAAATAGCTCTGTGTATTTACTGGTATATTTCTACTATGCTACAGTGGGTATTTCCTTGGAAAGGTCCAAATCCAACTGAATGCAAATTGCTCTGTATATTTTGCCACATCCAAGACGAATGAAACTTCCCACTAACTTGGTGTATGTCAGAGAAGAAATGTTTTGTCTTACAGGGCATCAACCACAAACCTCTTACTACCTCTCTGTATGTACCCTAAACTCCCCCATGAAACCTGCATATATTGGGATGTTCCCACTCTCTTGCCCCCTAAAGTACTGTCTTGTTTTCACACACCTCCTGTACTATCATAGAAATTATATAATTGTTTGAAACACTCCATAATCCCCAACCCCGCAAAGCTAAACCTTAATTGTCATTGGACCAGAGTATCATTGAAAATGTCAATTAACTTTGAAATTATTGACATTTTCTGCTGTCTCTGTGTATTGATTGGTGATGTTACACTCTCCATTGGCCCCTCATGCCTAGGCACACTGGGTATCTCTTCAAAAAGGTCCATTATAACATAGAACCTAAATTTACCCCACCAAAGTACCCACTTGTGTCTTGGAAAAGGTCTAGTGTCCTAGAATCAAACAACTTTTGTACCAGTCGGTCCAGGTAACTCACCGCTACATTACGAATCTGCACTCCAGCAAACCAGCGCAGCTGCTCCAGGACAGCGAGGAACACCTCAGTCTTATGAGGAGGAAGACTTTCCACTGCCTGCCTCAGCACCACCGCCATGTGGCTGAGAGTGCATGCAGCACCAAACACAATCCCTGAAACAAAGAGATTTTCTCATCACTGCTTCTTCTCCCATCGCTGAGCTACAGCAACCTTTAACCTTTTTGATTTAGAAGACAATCTGATATGTTCTCTTAACACTTACTCTTCAGTGATAAGAACCAGCTTGCTTTCTTATTTACTTTCCACTTTCTTATTTAATTCATTCATTTGCAATCAGAAGGAAACGTTTTTTAGCAGTGGTATCAACGTGAGTTGTACTCACCATTTTCAGTGTGAGTCACTGCGCTCAGTTCAGGAATGAAGGTTGGAGCTAGGATGACTGGGTAAACCATGTTCTTAAACTTAACTTCAACACCTGAAGGCATAAATGAAAGAGTGAATGAGTCAGTAAGTTAGTATTTATCTGAGTAAATGAGTGCTAATTGTGAAATGAAGGAGTGAATGAATGATCTGAGTGAACCAGACTGACCAACTTCGGTGTTTCCCACCACCACACGGGCATCTGGATGTTTCCATTTCAGATTCAGAAACTCATCCAGACTGTCAGGCTGCAGCCATGTCATTCGCTCACCATGGAAACACAGCGAATGTGGCTTCCGATCTTTAGAGAGAGTCTAGGTGGAAGTGGAAGGAGAGGGACAAACACAATGTGCGAAATCAGTTCATTATACATATCAATAGCACAACAAATGACTGGAGGGAAACTGTGGAACTACAGCTCACATGGTGCTTATGGAAATGTAGCTTGATGTGTCACAGCCACCTCTGAAGCTTCACTTGCCTTTGTTTAGTGATCAAATCAGCCAGAGCTCAAGAACTAACTTCCTGTTACACCTGGATGCACCCATCTGTTTCTCAGGATCTTGGCCTCATGTTCAAATCAAATCAAGGTTCTATGTTTGCTTGTATACTGATAATTTTGTTCTGTTTCCATTATGTCATTTTACATTTACACAGGTGCTTTAGAAGAAAAGACGTCCATATGGAAAATGGTAGATGTTGATGTTTTTTTAGGTTTAACCCATCAATGTCACGACCTCCTAGCATTTTTTTCAGAAGCTCCTACACCTAGAGTAGGTACTTTGTTTTTTTCCCAAAATTACCCCAACGTGATTGTGCTTGATTGTGTGCTTGGGTTTGTGTGAATTTACCATGAGTTCAGGAGGAAAGATGACTTCCTGCGTCGGGTCAAAGGGTGCAAATTCTGCAGGGTTAAAAAGAGACGTAGCTTCCTGTGTAAAAACATACACGCAGTTTACATCCAAATACCTTCAACAGGCTGTTCAATAGTTTTTAACAACAAGAATGAAGATCACTTACATTGATTTGCTCCTCTGAACCATTCTGTGCTCCATTCACATTACTCATACAGCAGCCATTTTTCTGCCCCCTCCCTCCACAGCACCCCCCCTCCTGGTGGAAAACACACAAACAGACTGTCATCAACAGAGTAATGGCAAAAATAAACCTTCTCCATGGGTGTCTTCTCACCACAGTGAAAGTCTTGTATCCTTCCAGTATTGGCCTGTATCCAGTACAACGACACAGATTTCCTGAAAATGTGATAATTTGTGTTGAAACATCAGGTCTGATCACTGCTACCTAGTTTCTTTCCCTATTCAATAAACAGCAAAAGTCAGTCTGTCTCTGGCAGGACCTTGGAAAGCCTCCTCCATATCGGCCATCTTAGGTGTGGGATTGTTCCTCAGCAGGGCGTACATGGACATGACGATACCTGGCGTGCAGAAACCGCACTGAGAGCCATGAGCCTTTGCAATTCGTTCCTGAATGATGAAAAAAAAAAACACCCATTAGGGGAAATATTTACAAAAGTAAATACATGTACAAGCATTTACTGCAATTGAAGCCTCAGGAAAAAGCTTTAGGAAAACATTGTAATGGTTCCTCAACAGTTTTCTTCAACGGCAATTCCATTAGGAAGGAAACTAGTTTTAGCTAGCTAGTAGAAAACTGCAAAGTTTCACATTGCTACAGGTCATATTAAAGTCCATTTAAATATTTGCAATAAAAACAATTTAATACCTGAAAAAGTTGCTTCATTAGTAACTTTGTACAAATATACAAATAATTAATTGAGTAAAAATGCTTTGTTAGAAGGAGGTAATGCAGTAATTTTCCAGCTGGTAGGTAAAATTTCTTCCACCTGGTGGTCAAACATAGACAAATGCCTCTTTAATACAGGTCATTAAGGCAATATGTTACCATGGAAACTTGTTTCTGCCATTGTCTCTTAATGTTTTCAACAATTTTGAGATAATAACCTACATTTTTGATTTATGGAATCCATTTTGTTTCAGTTGCAGAAACACAAGTTCCTTATGTTCCTTTGTGTTCAGGTATGTGTTGTTTTTTTGTTGTTTTTTCTAACCTGGACAGGGTGCAACTTCCTCGCCACGCTGCCGATTCCCTCCACAGTCGTCACGGCCACCAGGTGCAGGGAGCAGAGAGGGGCCAGGCAGGCGTTGATGGCGTAATGACTGGATGCAGTTAAAGACTGTTCACGTGCTCTCAAATGTTTTATTTAGCAGCTGTGAAATCAGTTTGTTATGGATGGAGCACATGAGTGCAGCTGATCGACAACATACATTTTAAACACACGCAAGTATAAACACATTCAGAGTAAGGATACAGCAGCTGCTTAGTGTGTGTTTGGTATCTGGACAGCATTACAGTGCAGGCTCCACAGCCGCCCTCAGCACAGCCCAGCTTGGTTCCTGTTAGACCCACTGAACACACACACACACACACACACACACACACACACACACACACACACACACACACACACACACACACATTTTTACTGTGAAATCACTAAATCACTGGATGTGGTCATGAAGCGTGTCGGAGTACAGTTATGCTCTCAGAGACCGGCTGTAAAACCTGAATCAGCAACTCTGACTGTTACTGAACACGTCACTGAGATGAGATGTTCTCATACGACATGATACTCGACTCATTTTGTCTCTGTGTGGAATATAAACAGATATATACAAGTACGGGCAGGCTACTGCAGCCATAAACAGGTCAAGTTTAAGACTTTAAAAGACATTTTAAAACCACTTTTAAAGAAATTTAAGAACGAACATACAAACGAAATACACAATAAGAGGGAAAATGATGTTCTTCCAAGTATAAGGAGTATAATGTGTTTTGATCCTGGTGTGTACTAAAATTACGCTATTTGGTTTAGACACTGAACTCACTTAGAGTTAGACATTAAAAACTATTCTGTGAGGTTTAGGAAAAGACCAACACAACTATAAATGATTACTTTTAGGCGACGGATTACTCTCAAAAAAGTGCCAAAGATAACCTTGTGTTCAAGAGCATCATCCCATTTTCCTGAGCTTTAGGACACCTTTGACATACATTTGTAAGCATTTTTACAGAGAATAATTGTTGCTCCAAAGCCATCTGCTTGCTAGCAGGGCCTTCTTCATCATCGTCTCCATCCAGGGCCAGGTCAGGCTGAAAGGGCTGAGGAATTTTGTATTTGTATTGATTTGGGAATTTGTTATGGTACTATATGATGGAAATCATTTCAGTAAATAATTTGAGACCGATCAAACACAGTTTTCAGTTTTTTTTACAAATCTCTAATCACTCTCATAGAACTAAAAATGCTGCTCTGTAATTGGTTCAGGTGCTTCAAAAGGCACTAGAGACCCTTTATTGGGTAATTTGCATCCAGGATAACTTGTTATTCTAAGTGCTATACAAATGAAAAAATAGGTGTTAGTTTGGTTCTAAATAATCTGAAATCTGTTGTTGCTGCTCTCATTGTAACATTTATAGAATAATAATGAATGTAAACTTGTAACCACAGCATTTACAAGAATATTGTTGTAACGGAAAATTGCAGATAGCAGTCTCAGTGAATAGCTGTAATTCAACAAACTGCAAGAAGAAGCTTCCGAACTGTGGATGGAATATTTCTTGGAATTTTTTTTGTAACACCTAAAAAGTGTGATGCTCTGAATCTGTTTAATTTCTCTGGCTTTAGGTGGCTTTAGTCACCAGTGTTGGTCAAGTTACTTGAAAAAAGTAATCAGTAACTAATTACTGATTACTTCCCCAAAAAAGTAATCCCGTTACTTTACTGATTACTTATTTTCAAAAGTAATTAATTACTTAGTTACTTAGTTACTTTTTAAAAACACGATTTACAACCTGAAGAGGTGATAAAGTGATAGATCTTTCAGCCCAATTCTACTTTTTCTCCATAATCCATCATACAAAATGTAATCAAATGGAAACGTCTCTTTTTTTAACTTGTTTCATCAGTTTTAATCTTTTAACTTTATGCATCAAGCAAAATTTTAATTATATGCAACATTCCCTGACTTGAATAAATTAGTTTAACATTTAAACCTATTTTCTGCACATTCCAGCTCATAAAATAAAATTTTTTTTGTGTTTACACTCACTCTTTCAAATAGATGCAAGTAAAACACAGCAGAACATAAATAAAGTCAAAGACTCAGCGGTCCCGTTGCTCTATTTTCACCTGTAAAGCAGGACTGCGGTAGGCGGAGGTTTACCCTGGTGCAGGTGTGCAGCGGTCAGTGGAAGGATACGGCAGTGTCTCTGTGAGTTTCCCGTTACGTCGTCGCGCACTCGGTGCTTGCTTGGAAGTTTAGGGGTTTTTTCGCTGTAAAAAGACGTTTTCTTCCCACGCACGATGGACGCTAATGTTTTTGTCACTTTTTATGGAATCAAACTCAAAGTAAGGTCAGTACTTCCACGCTGCACGCTCATACTCTCTCCCACAATCGATATGTGATCCATTGTTGATCTGCACACAGCTGTTGTCACTAACGGCGCACTCGCTTACGTCACTGTTGTGAGACATTCTCACAAAAAATCACGGTTTTAGTAACGCAGTAACGCAGCGTTCCTACGGGAAAGTAACGGTAATCTAATTACCGTTTTTGCAATAGTAATCCCTTACTTTACTCGTTACTCGAAAAAAGTAATCAGATTACAGTAATGCGTTACTGCCCATCTCTGTTAGTCACCTAAAGCCAACATAAAGTGGCTTTAGGAGACTCTTCTGATTTGGTGCTATATAAATAAGATTTAAATAAACTGAACTAAAAATCAAAGTTGGGAATATGTTTTTATATTTATACCCATTAGTAACAAACTGTACACTTGTGGTATACACATCTAATGGTGAACAATACTGCACAATTTTGGTATGATTGCTTTCATTTCCTGTAATTAGCTCCTTTTATTTACTATTATTAAAGGCAATTTAATAGTTCCTGTGAATTCAGTTTCCTCTAGTGGGACACGAAAGATACTGCTGTGCTGTGAGGGCAGTCTGAAACATCAGTCACAGTTTAATATTTCATAAATTATGAAATACAAATGACAGATGAACACTCAGGAAATGAGAGAGGAAAGCTTTCTGGCACAAATCCCAAATGCTGGAAAGTGCTGGACTTTGACTGTTTGATTGCAGAGACAGTCACTGACCCCGCAGCCGCTCATCATGAGAAAAACAATAAACCAAACCAGCACTTAAAAACACCACTGATTTAAACCTCTGTATTCATATTAAAGACATCAACAGCTGCATTATTGGGTTAGGTTGTTACTTTGGGTTCTTCCTCTTTTTCTTCATGTAGTGTGCGCGAGGCTGAAGGTGGAAACGTGACCAGTGACAGAAAAAGATAAACAGGAACGTCTGCACAGTGAAAAAAACAAGGCTGAACTTGAACTTGAAAAAACCACTGACTGAGGACAAAGTCTATCTACTACTACACTATATGTGTTACTCTATAGATTATACTACACACTGTACAGACGTGTGTGTGTTTTTATGTGTGATCATACATTTTCTCCGCAGATATGTCAGCAGGGTCATCTCAGGGTCTGCGTTCTTCTCAACAATCTGCAGCACAAACACAAATCAATCTTTCAGAGTACAAAGAAGCTCAAAAGCTACATTTTAATCAACATGAAAAGACTAAAAATACACAGAAAAATACACCAGGACATATAAATCAGTGTTTTACAGTTAATTATCAACAAGTTATTCACTGCTCTGAGACAGAAAAGTGATGGCAGCTGAGGTAAACTGAGTGCAGCTCATGTCCTTCCAGTTTAAATTTACAGAAACAAACTAACAGTCAGTTACCAGGAGGACGCTGCAGCTATAAAGTCAAAATAAACTTAATTTACATTAATCGAACATTCTGAATCAGAAATAAAACATTAAATGTTGGTCTAGATTTTAGTAAATAAAAATATACTAAAACTAAAAATATACTAAAGCGTAGTATAACTGACCAATGTAACATTCTGAATATTTTGAATTAATCCTGTATTTTGATGAATGAATCTTTCATTTTGCTCCCTCTCACAAACATTAAAGCTTTCACTGAGTATCAGCTACACATGCACAGCTTACTATGATTTATTTTACCAGCTTTTTTGTGTTTGTCTCACTTATCAGAAGCAAACTGAATGTCATTATGTGTTTTTAATGCACCGTGTCGCCTGTAAGTCATCAATGTTTTGCTTTCACCAACATTTTGTTCCACATTCTGAAATACTTCAGTTTTTCATCCCAACTTTTTATTCAGCTGAACAAACTTCTGTTTTTTCTAATTACTTTACTAGTTTTTTGCTCATTTGTTCTTTTATTTGTGAAAAAATATAACATTAATAGAATCAATTTACTTGGATTACAATAAAAAAAATCAGGAGATTCAGCTGCAATTTGAAGCACAGTCTAAATTCTTACATAATTAAGTGTTCATGGTCTTTGTTATCGTTAAGATGGATTAAGCATGATATAAATGTTACAGAGGCAGACTGAGATCACAGTAAAGTCACTACGAATTAGCTAAAAGATGAATATTTTTACCTTCTTCCCATTAACAAAGAAGATGAGTTCATCAGACCCAGACCGGGTCTTGGTTCCTGTCCGGTCCCCCATGTTGCCGGTCTCCTGTGCCCTCTCCATGGTGCTGGTGTTTCTGGTCTTTAATGATCCGGCCTCGTGGGCTCAGTTATCTGGAGGGAGGCATGTCCTGTCCGGCCCCCCTTCTCCTCCCACAAAAACCTGAAGGTGCGTTCAGGAGCGTAGCAATCCCTCAGATGTTTCGATCGCGCTCAATAATCAAAGGTTAAATCATGATCAGTCATGTGCGGATTAACTGATAAATTCTGAAACTTCTTTCCCCTCACTTAAAAAAATAAATAAACGTGTGTGAATGACCTGCAGAACTAACATTGCAGATGTTCCTGTTCTGAACAATTATTCACAGCTATGAGCATACCTGGAGGTCAAAGGTCACAGTCCTGTATAATAGTTGTGTAATAGCTGTAAACTAGTTACTGGATAACTATTATACGAATTTCAAGCTGACACAGCAGCTCACGAGTTCCAGTCTGTCAGGTCAGCTTCCTGCTCAGTTTTTATTTACCTTGAAATAAAGACTGAAAATTTATCTTTGCATTTGACAGAACCCTCAAACTACATCTATTGACATCAAATACACATGAAAATCATGGTAAATCACAGCTTATCAGCAGCTTTAATGAACAATGACTGGAAACAACAACAAAGTCCTCCCCACTGAAGGTCACAGCCAGAAAACAAACTGTGATTGAATAAAGGTGGAAATAGAGACAAAACCAGAAATTCAAATTTAAAATATGTAACAACAAGATCTATGTAATAAACAATGATGATATTAAAGTAAATATAAAACAGATGACTATGAAAACATACTAACATACTCAAATGGAAAAATGAAATACATAATAAACTCAGAATTCAAATGTACATAAATAATGAAAAGAATTATAATTTGTAGTATGAATATAATTCAACAATAAATACCAGTACTGACAAAACAATAAAAAGAAGTAAAAGGTATAAAATGAAACAAATACAGTGAAAACATTTCCTTAAAGTTAAAGTTTTTTTTAAACATAACACCAGTTTTTAAGAGTTTATTCATTTTAAAGAGTTTAAATCCACTACATCGCCATCAGCTCAAAGTGTAAAACAATTAATTCAGTGATTTTAAACTTTATATCATTATTATTATTAATATTAGATGGTTTATATTAGACTGTAGAGCGGAAATATTTATTCATGTCACAAGACCTGTCAGCCAACATGCAGTTTTGTAACACAGCACAATGAATAGACTGCTTTCTCCTCACACATACATCAGATCACTCACAGACTCATGTGATCTGGATTCCAGCTGTGAATCCATTTGATTTGCCCTCCGTAGCCTCAAAGGCCCCCGCTTATAGTCAGGAGATGCTGATAAATGAAAGTTCAACCAGACTCCACACAATTATTCTGCTTCGATTTTATATACTGTTTTGTTTGTTTGTTTGTTTGTTTGTTTGTTTGTTAAATTAGTTAGTTTGTTTGATTGCTTGTTTTAATCAATTTTAAATCATGCTTTTTATTTGTTTTTGTTTCTAATGTCTCTGTAAAGCACTTTGAACCACCTTGTTGTTGAATTGTGCTATACAAATAAACTTGCCTTGCCTTGCCTTCTCTGTTACACATGTACATGGATGTGTTTGTTGTGGAGGATTTTAAGGTTTATACAAGAGACAAATAGAACTGTTTTGCCTATAAACAACTGACTTTTAAATTCACAGTTACAGTGGGCCTATGACTGAGCCCTGAGGTACATCATATTTAATGGCGCTGGCTACAATCTTCACATGAGGTTAGCCAACAAATATTAACGGTGAAAGTCGTTTTTAAAGTAGTAGTGAATGAGTTCTTATGCCATTTGTGCCATTCTAGTTTGATTTGCTAACAGAAAGCATTTAGTGTTTGTACGACCCGAAAGTTTCCTAAAACACATTTTCCATCTCAGTCCGCTTATGGCAAAAACAAATTAAATTCTCTTTATATTATAAGGTTTTTCACAACATGATATGAATCAACCATGAACTTGAACATGTACTTAGTAGGTCTTTCAATTAGGTAAAGAAAACCTCAGCAGAACTACAAAACATGACATACTGAACCATTTTATTATTTTTTAAACAAAAATTAAGCCAGAATGCACAAGTAGTGTGTGAAACACACGGAAAGCTGGTGGTTTGGAAGGGCTGCCTTCCAAAATTTAAACACAGTTTAGGTTTGCAAAGTAGCATCTGAACAACCCACAAGACTTCTGGAACAATGTCTATTGGACAGACAAGACCAAAGTGGAGATGTCTGGTCGTAATGCACAAAACCAAACACAGCGTTTCAGCACAAACACTTCATACTAACCATGAGCAATTGGTCTTGTGGTTTTGCAACAGGACTCGGGCAGTTGCTGAGTCAACCGTGAATTTGAACATGAAATCTGTACCAGTGAATTCTAG